GTAAAAACTCCTCAAAGAAAAGAAAATGTCTTTAGTGGCTTAGAGCACCTTCTGCTCTTGCAGAGGACCTGGTTCAGTTCTTGCTACCCACATGGTGGCTCACAACCATCTGTAATTCCTATTCTAGGGCATCTGGCCTCCAAGGGCATAGGAATGCACATGGTTTACATGTATACATGCAGGCAACACACACACACACACACATTTCAAAATAAACAATTTTTAACTATTTCAGTTTGTCATAAGGATCACTCTGGCTTTGTAAAGGAAATTTGGAAAAGTTCTTTTCGTTACAATTTTTGGAATGGTTCCAGTTCTTCTTTAACTGGTTTGTAGAATTCAGCTGTGATCCACCAGATTCAGAACATTTTTACATAAATATTTTTGATTATACTAACTATACTTCCTATTTCTTCTTGATTTAAAAATTTTGTAGTTTGTATGTATTCAGAAATTTATCCTTTTCGTCTAGGTTTTCCAGCTTGGGGTATATAATCATAGTATTTTCTTAAGCTCATTTGAATTTCATTTCTAATGTCTCATTTTTCATTTCTCTTTTTTATATAGTTAGTTGTCAGTTCTTAGGTCTTTTTTCTTTGTTAGGCTAGTTAAATATTTATCAGCTATATACGTTTAAAAATCCAACTCAGGGGGCCGGAGAGATGGATTGGGAGGTTAAGAGCACTGGTGTTCTTCCAGAGGTTCTGAGTTCGATGTTCAGCAACTGTCTATAATGAGATCTTGTGCTCTCTTCTGGTAAGCAGCCAGAATGTTGTATACCTAATAAATAAATAAATAAATAAATAAATAAATAAATCTTAAAAAAAAACTCAGCTCCTTTGAAATTGATGTTCTTATTTTCATCACACATGCCCTCTCCTTTTATTTTTATTATTAATTATATTTTTTCATTTATTTTACATGCCAATGGCAGTTTCCCCTCCCTCATCTCCTTCTCTTCCGTCCTCCTGACTCACCTCTGCCCTCCCAATCCACTCATCCTCTGTTTCTGTTCAGAAAGGAGCAGGCCTTCCCTGGGTACCAACAAAGCATGGCATAATCAAGTTGAGGTATGACCAAGCTCCTACCATTGTAATAAAGCTGGGCACGGCAACAGAGTACAGGGAATAGGTTCCTAAAAGCTAGTAGTCCCACAAGTAGATTTAAATTGATTATCTACATTACTTTTTAAAATTCTTATTTTCATTTGTGCGTTAATCTTTAAAGTTTCCCTTCCACTGACTTTGAATTTGGTTTGTTGTTGCTTTGTTTTTAATTATTGTTTTTTGAAACTGTGTTGAGTGTAGCTAATCAATGTGTGCTTAAACTTGCATCTTTCTTCTCAATTCCAGAACAAAATGATGAGAAAATCTCTCTCCAAGAAGACGAGAAAGATGTGAGTTCTTCCCAAGAAAGTTCTAGTAAGGAGAGCCTTCATGATGAATATTGTGGGAACAGTCTTCTGCTTCCACAACTCCAGGACAATGATGGAAACTTTCAGAAATAGTATGCCTTGATGACCCTCAAATACTATAGTAAGTAATACAGACAAGCTGTCTTGCATATAGTATCCCTTGAGATTGCACAACTTTCCAAGTCTGTAATTTTTCTCTTATTTCAAAAAAAGTGACCAGTGACAGAAGTCCTACTTAGCAAGCTGTTTATCAGTGAATTAAGATTGGTCCTTTTTACATATTTTTGTATTTAACTTTTTACACATGTCACTCTCAGTTCCCTCTCCCTCCGCTCCTCCCCCACCCCCAATCCTCCCAACCCCTCACCCCCACTCCATCCCCCCCCTCCACTCCCCAGGGAGGGCAAGGGCTCCCATGAGGGATTTTCAGAGTCTGTCACATCATCCCCAGAAGGGCCTAGGTCCTTCCCCATGTGTCCAGGCTGAGAGAGCATCCCTCCACCTGGTATGGGTTCCCAGAGTTTTGCTTTGACCCAGGTAAGACTGGCGGCAGTAATTGTAGGTCACAGTTCTTCTAGAAGGAAGACAATGTAATCAGAAAAGGAGTCTGCACTGGTGCTGGTCCAGACAGACCTCTCTTTACCTACTAATTACTTTGGCCCCACTTCCTGAAGACTTAATGCATAATGGGCTTAATATATTTCTGAACAGAAGAAGCTGCATGGCTGCCACCCTACAGATCATCCAAGTGGATTTCCCTGAGGTGAGGCCATAGAGCCAGGGATACTTGGTGCAGGGCTGGATGGGACAGACTGTAGGAAGCTTTGTCTATGAGGACGTGTATAGTAATGATAATGCTAAATCTTGCTCCCAAAAGCTATTGTCCTTGAATTTGAGCAACGACAACATATACTGGCTAGATGGCCTGTCTGAATTAGTAGAGAAGGCCCCCAAGTCAAGATTCTGAACCTTTCAAAAAATGTGGTAAGAGAACTCAGATCCACCTGCCTCTGCCTCCTGAGTGCTGGAATTAAAGGTATGTACCACCTCCGCCTGGCTCTACTTGGCTTTTTTTAAAATTCAACTTTAGTTTTGGCTAGCCATCCCTTAGCCCCTCTATCTCTTAACTCCTTCCAAGCCTCATTTAAATTGTTGGATCCTCATTATTCTCTCCCATACTTCATTTAAGAACTCTTCCCCCTTCTCATATAATGACCTTTCTCTAGTATCCTGGCCTCTAGAGATTTAAATAAACAAATTCAAAGCTAAGGTCTACCTATGAGAAATGGCATATAGTTTTTGTCTTTGTAGGTCTGGGTTATCTCACTCAGTATATTTTTCAGTTATATCCATTGTCCTGAAAATTACATACTTACTTTAATTTTTCTTTATAGCAGGATAAAATCTCTCTCTCCATATATATGTATCTCTGTACTGGGATATGACATTCTTTCCAAATGTACCCAGGAATGGTGTAGGTGAGTCGTATGGTGTTTCTGGTTTTAGCTTTATGAGAAACCTCCACTCTGATTTCCAGTTTCCATAGTGGCTTAACCATTTTATACTTCCTCTAACAGTGGAAAAGTGTTCCTTTCTCTATATCCTCTCCAGGATAAAACAACTGACAGAAACTGCTGTTGAAGATACAAACATATGTAGGGATTTAAAGACAACTTAATGTAAAAGTGTTACTATGGGAAAAGGTAATGGTACTTTGTGTATATTTCCATGGCCAATAAATCCCTGAGGCTGCTTTGAATGGACATATCCAGTGTTGACCACTACCACTTACTGTCTTTTCTTTCTTTTTTTTTCTTTGGACTGTTTTTAGGGCCCTACACTACATAGATTTGCATCTTGTTTTCTGGGTTCTGAAGATGGTCTATTTATACTGAGCATCACCACCTATTCCTTATGGGCCAGACATTCCCTCCAAAAGTTAATCTCCTGCCTAATAACATGATCAGGTTTTCTGGTAATGTAGATTGTGGAGTGAGTAGTTAAAGGAATCCCAGAAACCTGTCTTTTAAATATAGAGGGGAAACCATCTACTTTTATTAATGCAATTTCAAAATTATAAACATACCTAAAACAGGAAAAATTCCTGTCACCATATAGCAGACCATGATCAACAACTTGGCTTAGGGTTGAGTTGTGTAGGACTGATGTGCTGGAGCATTTCTAAGAACATATGGTATACACATTTGAAACACTTTCTGATTCTAATTATTTTAATCAAATTTATTTTAAAATAGATAATACAAACACTATACCCAACATTAAATTTCAAGAGTTTACATAATTACAGATTTTCGGGGCCAGAAATATGATGGATCAAGTTTGCAAGGAATCCACACAACCAACAGTAACTGGTGTTGCTTCATGGATACAACCAACAGTAACTGGTGTTGCTTCATGGATACAACCAACAGTAACTGGTGTTGCTTCATGGATACAAAAATCTTTTGGTATCCCTTCTCTTCATTAAGAATGTAGTTTTCCTTGTGCCCAGATTAAATCCAGGCCATTGCATCTTTAGGTGGTGAGGTCATTCTGGGGAAGGGAACTCATCTGCACAGTCAGTTAATTATTTTTCTCCACTATTGTTTTTCCTATATCCTTATCTTATGTTATATAATACTATTTCAAAACAATAAATATGCCAGGTAATAAGAACAAAATATTCAAGATAGCAATAAGAAAAATAAAATGGGAGACTAATAACGATCTGGCAGCAGAGGAGTTTCCCCTAGGCTCTCTGGCTATACCATACATTTTATATAAGCAATATTTACAGGTGCGTCACTAGAGGATTTTTCTTGTAAAGGGAACAGTTTAGAATTTGTTGGAGTAATTTAGAACTTTTATTCCAGACTCAGCATTGAAAATTCCGCACCCCTCTCCATTTTCTACCTTGGGTCCCTCCCGTACCTAACCAGTCCACTTTGGTGGGCTGTGGAGTTTAATGACACACGTATAAACACTAGAATTCTTTGCTATCCTTCCGCGCTGGCAAGCCACAGCTTTTTCCCTGACGCCACAGCGTGAAAACCGCACGAACGATATGCAACAGAGAGACAACGGAAAGACATGGTGAGGTTGGTGAGAGGCACTCCTAAGAAGGAAGCTAATACAGACACTGGGCAATAGTCTGCTTCCCGATGTTTGGCTCTGTTTTCCCTAGTTTGGCACCAAAACGTTAGTGTCGCAGTGGAGAAATGGAGCAATCTATGACTGGTAGTATCATTCCACCTCTCTAAGCCGGATCTTCTTAAACCACTCTAGCCCCTCCCCCTGCAGGCTTCCGTAAAGTGACGTAGCCACGCCTAAGGCGTCCCGGCGGATGTAGGCGGCTGTTTAGTCGTTTCTAGAGGGTTCCCGAGGACCCTTAGGAACTGGAGGAAAGATAGAGTGCCGAAAATAGAGTGCCAAAAGGTGATGGTAGTTTGTTCATCATGGCTCTTCGTCTGCTAAAGTAAGCAACTTGTCCTGAGTCCCAAGTGCACGGCCAGCCCCTAAATCCTGTCGCCCCCTTGTCTCTGCTCCCTGCTCCTGACTGCCGATTGCGTTTGCCTGCCTCCTTTTATGTAAAGCAAGACACCTCTGGAGATGCGCACCTAAGAAAACGGCCTCGATTCAAGCAGAACAGGTTTGTAAGAAGAAAGGCATTGCCTGGGGCTATGACTGCGGGTTCTGAGATTAGTGCGGGATGTGTGACCTGGTTTTAGGAGGTGGTGTTGATAACAGAGAGGGAGACGGGGGTGGAGGGAGACGGTTATAAAATGCCGTCTACATTCACTTCCGACTACGTTTTGGAGGGGAGGTGGATGTAATCAGCATCCATTGGAGATATGGCGTACTTGTTAGAGGAAGCAGGCCTGCCTTTGCTGGTGAGGGCAATTGTCTGAGGAACCTTGCGAATCAGGGAGGGAGTATACAAAGAGTTTATAAATGTGAGGACATGTACGTCTTGGAATCGAAGATTGTTTCATGTTCTGGTTGCTTATCTGACCGTGAATTAACTAACCACAGCTTGCTCGCTGTTTTCATTTGCCTTGGGGCTATCAAACATTTATTTGTGTAGATAGATGTGCTGCCAAGTTCGCAATTTTCCACGTTTCATGGCATCAGATAAAAACGGGAGAAGACAAGATAAACTGCCCTGGTTTCTGTATAGTGGGAAAACTCCAAGAATAGGTAGGAATCTAGAGTAATTTCTAGATCTCTTTGCTGGCCTTTCAGATATGCCCTCCATTACATAAAAACCTGTAAGATAATTAAAATGATACTTGTCATTCTTTTCCCAGCTTCCTGTTATTGTCAGGCATTTCATCCCTACTGACACCACTACGACCAAGCAGGGATGCTTTAGTTGTCTTCATGGAAATTTTTAGGCTTTAAGGACATAGCAGAGGACTGGAGATTTGGGAATGGATGGCATCTAGGGGTGGCAAAAGAAAAGAATTCAGAGAACTCTTTGCTGAGCAAGTATCTGTATCCAGAAAGTGTTTATTCCTTAGGTGCTGTTTTCTAAAATAGACTCGTTGCTGATGTTCTCCTATTTGTGGATTTCCATTGGTACACATATTAATAGGTTTGTATAACTGTTGACTGCTGTGAAAATTTGTAAATAACCCAACTTGAAACTAGGAAATAATGAAGAGAAACTTGTTTGGTTTCTCAGGTTGGTGTAAAAATACAGACCCAAGAACCACTGAGACTAGAAAATTGCATCCTTCTGTTTTGTTAGGTTATCAATGACACCTATTTAGTCTGTGGATTTCCTTAGGAGTCTTAGTATACTTGGGAGATAGATACAGGATGCAAATATCTCGCTTTCATGCCCTCTTCCTTGTCCTGCTCTAATACTTCGTTATTAACTAATTTTCACTAGGGAATTACCAGAACAATCACTGAAGAGGAAAATGGTGGGCCATAAAGGAGGAGGAGAAAGTTTTGAAGATGAGTAATGGGATGAGAGGAAGATCGGGCAGCAAGGGAAAAGCTAGACAGACTATCAGAAAAGGCAAGAATAGAGGTTAGGAACCAAGGTCTGTATCCCGAGACCTTAGCTTCTCTGTTTTCTTTATCTATAGGTCTACCAGATCTGCTACAGGACTTGTTGCCAGTGGAAGCAAAGAAAAGAAGGAGAAAATTACTTCACATCAGTGCAGGTTTGTATGAATGTGGGGACTCCTTGAGGATGGAATAGTAAAGATTTGTTTGGCTCTGTCCCAGGTCAGGAAACAGCCTAAGGATTCTGCAGCCTTTCATGGCCATCTAGCTTTCTTATTTTCCCTGACCTTACTAGTGTCTGGAAAGACAGTTGGTAGCACGTGGAGGTGTAGACAGTGGGTGAAATGAAAGAAGGAGTTTACTTCTCTCTCATAGAGCACTGAATTTCCATACTTAAATTTCTCTGTGCTAATCGGCATGAGGAGAAAAAAAAACTGGAAGAGACTTAAAGCCCCATTTCCTTCCTCCACCCCTAGGTCCAACTTCAGTGACAGATCTGGTGGCCTTGGAGTGGCTGAAGACCACCACCCTCCACAGGCCTGCGCCCAAGCACAGCTATCCTTCTTTTTCTTGAGTGAGATTCCTCAGCATGCTGTTTACATAATTGGCAGAAACTGTAGTTGCAAAGGGGGCTGAATGACTACTGGACTTTATATGAAAACACCATCTTTCAGGCAAGGCTGGGATAGGGGCATATTATTTGGCTTTGCCTTTATCTTGAACCATGATTGGCTCTACAACTAAAGCAAAAGCTAGAGAAGAGTCTGGGGCTTCCTTGAAACCTGGAAGCAAAAGCCTTGCCAATGCTAAAGAAAAAGCTAAGAGTCAGACCAAGAAAGTGGTTGCAACAGAACTAAAAGAATTGGGGAGCCAGGCTGAGGCTAGGGATGAAGCAATGGCCAGGACACAAACAGTGACTCGCACTGAGCCTGAGACTGTGACATGGAAAGTAAAAAAAAAGAAAGACAGGACTAATACTGGAGTCAAGGATCATACTAAGATAGAGCTCTGGGCAGAGCCTGCGTTAGTTCCTCACACCAAGGCAGATGACTTGCCTATGTCTGTGGTCATTACTGTAACCAAGTCTGAAATCAGGGTTGACACTGGTATTGAAGCATCTGTCAAGTACTCTTCCAAGGCTAGTGATACGGGCAGTATGAAGCACATACCAGAGAAAAAGAAAGAGACCCTTGTCAGATCCGGGACTGGGGACAAGGCTAGTATTGTCATCAACACCACTGATGAGGATGAAGAATATGTGTGCTCCTGGTTTTGGACTGGAGAAGAGCCTAGTGTAGGGTCCTGGTTCTGGCCTAAAGAAGAAACACCTCTTCAAGTTTATCAGCCCCCACCTAAGGTTGAGAAAGAACCCGAACCCACAGACAAATTTGACTTTACTTTAAAAAGAAAAGCAGCAGCATGGGCAAGGGGCAGGTTTATTGTCCTAGTCCCAGTTGAGGAATGTGAGCAATCTTTACCCCCAGAAGGGAACTGGACTCTGGTTGCGACCTTAATTGAAACTCCTCTGGGTATTCGACCATTGACCAAGATCCCACCTTTTGAAGGACCTTACTTCCAGACTCTAGCTGAAATAAAAAATCAAATCCGGGAAAGAGAGAAGTATGGACCCAATCCAAAGGCCTGCCGCTGTAAATCGCGTACCTTTAGTTTAGAGCCTATAGAGTTTGATAAGCTTGTTGCCCTACTTAAGTTAACTAGGGATCCTTTTATTCATCAGATAGCTACAATGATAATGGGCATCAGCCCTGCTTACCCATTTACTCAAGATATCGTTCATGATGTTGGTATTACTGTTATGATTGAAAATTTTGTCAATAACCCGAATGCTGAAAAGTACTGTAGAACTTTAAATGTGAGTGCCAGCGCTGACACTTCTGAAGAAGCAAAAGACAATGAAGCACATGTGGATAAGGTTTGTAGGGACATACTCTCATGTCCTTTGAACTGCTCGGTACAAGTGGAGGAGCTGAAACTGTTAGCGAGTCTGAGTATGAAATTTGAGTATCACCATGTGATTATCAATTATGTTCGCTATTTCATTACGATGTTAAGCAAAGGAAGTGTCAAAATCAAGTTTCAGATTTTAAGAGTCATTCTGTATTTGTCAAAAAACCAAGCCAATACAAGAGAGCTGATCAGTGCTGAAGTGTTGTCGTCACTGATTGCTCTGTTTCACAAGAATGAGTCAAAGGCTAATATCCTGCATATCATCAACATATTTGAGAATATAAATTTCCAATTCAAAAAGAGGGCAAAGCTGTTTACCAAAGAAATGTTCACTAAGTCTGAGCTTATTTCCATATTCCAGGAGGCAAAACAGTTTGACCAGAAACTCCAAGACTTGGCAGATCACAGTGACCCTGATGTGAGAGATAAAGTTATCCGGTTAATACTCAAACTCTGAATAGCTGTATATTCTCACAAAGCCTTGAGCATTTCTGTCTTTCCAGTGTAAATCTAATGTATATTGTAATTATAAATTTGATACTTATGCTCTCTGTGTTGAGGGAGGCAATCTTATGGATGCTAGTCATCTTGAGAGATTGAACACTTGCTGGTGAGATATTTTTGGAATTTCTGTAATGTAACCCCATACTGAACCTATTCGTCCTAAAAAAGCTATATTTCTGTGCATTATATTGATATGAGTGTATTTTCGTATTCCGTTTGCGTGTTTTTAATAAAGTTGCATGCTAAAGCTGATGAAAATATTGTCCTGGTTCTTCAGTTGAAATAAATGTAGTCAGAGATGAACAATGTAAAGATAGCCATGATCACTTTCTGTCCAGTTACCGGTGGGGGTGGCACAAACAAACAAGTTCACAAATTGGCAGATCTTTTGGTTTCAACATGTTCAGGGAATACAATAGATCAATCTGGGACCAGTAAGATAGGACTATGCTTTTGACTGTCTGGAGGTTGTAGGTGGCAGGGTTTCAAGTGAGGAATGGTGCTGTAACCTGACAGCTCTGGGGAGGCGGGTGGTGACAGACTTAGGTGGAGGAGAACACAGATGCCTTCATGTCCTCTGAGTCCAAGAACATGTACTTACTCTTTCACATCTGATGTCTCACCAGGATGCCTTGAAGTTTGTAATCCCCAGAGAATCTCTCCTTCGCAGCCTATTCAGTTACATTATGGACAATTGTGGGAAATGCAGTTCCAAAGGGACACAGCAACACTGTATCCTTATTAGCACCCTCCCTCTCCAGGAATACCAGATTTATTACTTCCAATGAAGTTTTCTGTCCCTGCAGTCCTGGGCCTCACAGGAGGACTTGGGATCACCTGCAGAAACTGATTATTAATATCACCTCCTCTATTTTGGTGGTTTTTGGTTCTCATCCTTACTTTTGTTTTCTGGCCAATTCTTTTGCCTTGGCCATTTTTACCTATTCTTGATGGCTGCCCCTTTTTTTGTGCTGATTGATAAGGGACAGGGCATGACTGTATGTGTGACACAGCCACAGAATACCAAAATCCTTTAGTAGTATGTAGTTAGTAAGAAATGAATTTCCCTATTCTCACTGTTTACTTATTGTTTGCAGCCTCCCGTTTATATAACAAAAGCTAGTTTTCAGAGCAGTGGGTTATGGCAGAACAACAGGTACAGATTGGGATCTGATCCTGCCTTTGCCTCTCCTACTCCCCAGATCCTTTGCTATTTCTATTCTTAATTGCCCAATATTGGGAATTATAGAGATTATGATCTCTGGAGCAGTGTGTGTGTGTGTGTGTGTGTGTGTGTGTGTGTGTGTTTGAGTGTGTGTGCGCGCAAGTGCACGCCAGTGTGACTATGATATTTCTTTTCACCCACCTTTTCCAATAAAAATATCAATGTGCTAGAATATATCCAAAGTTTTAACAGCTAATTGTGGTTTAATTTTTATGAAGGTTAGATGTGAACCTATTTTTCATATTCCTAGGAATAAAAATGAAGGATAATTGTCCATATTTATGGATTAGCAGGAGGAAAGCAGTGGGTTTTTTCTTGCAGTGTACCACTTTGATTTAGAAGATTTTTGAAGTTCTGTGTAACTGTTTTTAATCCACAGATCTACCCTAGCGTATAACACCAGCTGTGAGAACTTCTCTCAGTGGAGCTCTTCACAGTGCAATCGGACCAAATCCTTTGGAAACATTTCATATCTCAAATGCCCTGTGGAGTACACACTTAATCAGTTGATGGCTTGGAATTGCCCAGTATCAGCTAAGGAGAAGGGTGAGTTTGGGATATGTGTATATATTGGTGCCAAAGAAAGCAATCAGTCTTCCTGCCTGAGTGGTAACTTTGAGAGTCAAAAATCTCTAGGTTTCTGACAGCTGCCATGACAAGGGTTAGCTCTTGAATCCCAGACTGATGGCTGAGAGGCCAGCATGGGACTGATCAAGACCCCCTGAATGTGGGTGTCAGTGAGGAGGCCTAGGCAATGTATGGGGCCTTGGGTAGTAGATCAGTATTTATCCAGGGTATACAAATGGACTTTGGACTCCCATCCACAATGAGAGATGCACTCTTACTCTGGACTCTTGGGGGAGGGTCTAGGCCTTGTCCTGAATGAAATGAAATGGACAACCCCATGGAGGGCCTCACTCTCCCTGGGAAATGAGGGGATACTGGGGAGGTTGGTGCGAGAGCGTGGGAGGAGGGGAGGGAAAGGGAGAGGGACCTGGGATTGACATGTGAAGCAACCTTGTTTCTAATTCAAATTTAAATTTAAAAATAAAAAAATAATAAAAATCTCTAGGTTTCGACGTGTCACCTATTGATGTACACTTTAGTTTTTTCAACAGTTAGACGATTATGACCAGTGCTGCAATGAACCTGTTGGAGTCCCCAGTTTCTTTTGCATATGCACTTAAAAGTAAAATTGCTTGGCAACATGATGCTAATTCTGTTTAGCTTTTGAGGAATTTCCAAACTGTTTTCCACACTGGATTTTGCATTCCTATCATCAATATACGATCATTTGAATCCATCTATATCTTTTAAAATACTTGTTATTTTCTCTACTATTTAAATATTCCTTTTAAGAGATATATAAAAACATGAATTTATATTTTAATGGACTAATATGCTGTATTTTAGTATATGTGTAGCTTTTGTACTTTTCAAATGGGGTTAAGCACATTCATCTCAAGCATTTATCTTTTCTTGCTGCTAAAAACTCTAAAAGTCTTTTCTTCCAGGTTTTTGTAATATAGTGCTTTATTGTTATGTATAGTCAGATACCCTACGATATAGGAACATACCAGAACTTCTAGTTACTAATGAAACTCCTTCATATTCTCCCTAGCTTTTTATAATAATAATTCTACTCTCAAGTTTTTGAGAACAACCTTTTCAAATTGCATGTATGTGTAGATGGTAAGGCATTTGTGTAGTGAGAGATCTTACTATGTACCTGTGACGCCATGCATAGTACATATGGTAAACAGCAAGATCTTTGACTACACATTTGTCTTTCTGTGCCTGGTTTGTTTCACTTAACACACTGATCTCCAGTTCCAGCCCTGTTCTTAGGAATGGAAGAATGACTTTTGTGACTGAATAGTATTTTATCTTGTACATGAACCACACCTTTATCCATCCATCAATTTTTGAATACTTAGGGTTTGTTTCTATTGCTTTTTTTCTTTTGGTTTTTCGAGACAGGGTGTCTCTGTATTGTTTTGGAGGCTGTCCTGGCATTCACTCTGTAGACCAGGCTGGCCTCGAACTCACAGAGATCCGCCTGCCTCTGCCTCCAAAGGGCTTGAATTAAAGGTGCGTGCCACCAACACCTGGCTGTTTCTATTTCTTAGCTATTGTGAATTATAATACTGCATTGAATATGTGAGTGCAGATGACTCGTTAGTATGCTAATTTAATTTCCTTTGGAAATATACCTAATAGTGGGATTTCTAGATCTTATGGTAGTTCTATTTATATATATTTTAGGGTCCTCCATACTGTTTTCCATAGTGTGTATATTAACTTGTATTCCCATGAACAGAGTAAAATATTTTTCTCCATAGTTTGTCTCACCAGCACATTTTATTTTTAATCTTTTAATCTTTTTGATTATAGTGATCTAATTGGTATAAAGTGGCATCCCATTATGCTTGCAATTATTGCTAAAAGGTTACTGGTATAGAACATTTTTTTTTCATGTACCTGTTATCCACTTGTATGTTTGTCTTCCGCTATATTGTTCATTTCTAAAATGTGTTTTTTTGGAGGATTTTCTGAGATTTTTTGCAGTTCCTACTATAGTCTATATGAGACCCTTGCCGGATGTATGAATTGCAAGTATTTCTACCATTTGGTAGCTGTCCCTGTACTCTGTGGTTTCCTACATTGTGCAGAAACATTAGTGTGATGTCAGCCAATTTTAGTTTTTATTTTATTTCTTGTGCTTTTATGATCCTTTCCAAAATTTCCTGTCAGTTCTGGTGTCTTAAAGCATTTTTCTACTTTTAGTACTTTCTTCATTTTAGATCTTACCTTTAGTCCTTTAGTATATTTAATATATTTTACTTTTTTTTATAACTGGTGAGTGATAGTGGATTTTTGTAATTTTCAAGAGATTCTTCTGCCTGTGGCTATCAAATTTTCCCAGCATCATTTATTACAAAGCCTGTTCTTTCTCCATTATATATTGGTCTGTGTGTACTTTTTTATGTCATACCATGATAATTTTTTAAAAACCAGTTTAGCTTTGCAGTTTGTTTTGACGTCAGGGACTATAGCTCCTCCTACTTTGTTCTTTCTATTCAACATGTATTTGGTTTCTTGGGGAGTTTTGTGTTTCTCTGTGATTTGTTACTGCATTTTCTAATTATGTATAGAGCATCTGTAGTGTTTTTGTAGGGATTGAATCAGATTTATAAATTTCTTTTGCTAGTACATTTTTACAATGTTGTTTTTCCCAATTCATGAGCACAGGCATCCTCTCATATTTTTACATCCTTCTCAATTTCTTTCATCAGTGTTTTATATATCTTACTATTGATATATTTTACATATTTGGTTACATTTATTTTTAATATTTTACTTTTAGGTATTATAAATGGAATTGCTTTCTTGTTTTTTATTTCAGATAATTTTGCATGCTAATTTTACATTCTTCAACTTTGCGGAATGTACTTGCTCATTCTAATAGTCTTTGTTTGTTTGTTTGTTTTTGATGGAGCTTTTGGTTGTTTCCTATATATAAGATCATGTTATCTCTGAACAGAAACAGTTTGACTTATTTTTCAACCTGAATTAATGTTTGCCTGTTTCTCTATCCTTATTGCTCTTGCTAGAATTTCTAGCACTGTATTGAATAAAAGTGGTGAGAGCGTATCTCCCTCTTGTTCTTGGTCTTAGAAAGAAAATTTTCAACTTGTTTCCTTTGACTTTAATGTTAGCTATCAGCTTATTATAAAGGTGTAGTATTATTATTATGGTGTAGTATATCTATTCCCAGTCTTTCAGTTCTGTTATCATGAAAGGGTGTTGAATTCTATCAAGTGTATATTCCACACTGATGTGATCATGAAGTTTATAGTCCTTCATTTTGTTGGTGTGGTATCTCAGTTTATTAATTTGAATAGATTGAACCATCTTGCATTTGTGGACTAAATCCCACTTGGTCATAGTAAATATGTTGTAAGTTTATTTTGCTGCTGTTTATTGAGGAATTTTTTTCATCTGTATTGGTTAATCATATATTGGC